AGAGAGAGGAAAGAGGATTTTTATTTTTCTTTGCTTTGCTACAATTTTACAACAATAAAAACGCTTTTATGTATCACTAAAAAGAGAAAAAGTGTCACATATTCGAAATTGCAAAATTGGTTCAACATTGTAAGATGCTTATACTTTATATTGCTATTTTATGTGAGTATGTAACAGAATTAATAAAAAAATTTTTACATAAATATTACATACATATACAAACATACATTTTATATAAGAGGTCTACTATATTAGAGAGGGTACATACATTTTTGTAAAAAAAAATAAAAGAGCTTTTATTTAAAAGAAATCCTTATCATATTTTTTTTTTCTTAAACTTTTTGATTTTCTTTTACGATTTGTATTAACATTTTTGTCCAAAAAAAAACAAAAATCTCCAAAAATAACAATTGAAAAGCAAAAGTGATATGTAGAATTCTTATACTAGTGTATATATATGTATAATCAAATGCACAATCATATTCTTACACAATAATGAAAATTATAATCCTATATTATATATGTGCACATCCCACTTTCATTTGATTTGAAAAAAGTTACGTAAGTTTGCTATGCTTAGTAAAAATTTACAAATTGGAACTAAGTAAGTAATTATTAAATTTATAAAAGTGATTTTATTTCTAATTTATATAAGGATTAGAATTATTAATTGATTCTATATGGTAAGTATATCAGTTAGGTATATTAATTTTTACAATGTCATATTATTAATATTAAATATGAAAATTATTAATAAAAAATTCTTGTACAATTTCTTAATTAAAAAGGTTATTTATATTTTGACCTCTTTCAATTATTTTTTGACATTTTAAAATTTTAAAATATACAAGTAAATCTTTGTTTGATGAGAATTTTATGATTTGATACAAAAAATGTTGGCTAATCTTAAATACTACAATTTTGTTAAGTTTTAATCAAAATTTTGAAATTTCTTCAAGAAAAATTAATGAAAAATATAAGAAAAATTTATTAGACTTACCTGTGCTATACCAGCTCCCATTAGACCTCCACCAATAACAGTTATATGTTCAATTTCTTTTTTAGTTGACATTCGTCTTACAAATGTTCTCATTACTGAAGATGCCATTGTTATTTTCTTTTATTCGAGTGTTTTCTTTTTTTTTTGTAATATTCAAATGGTATCAAGGTTTTATATTTGTATATGGGTGAATTGACCTTTTTAGGACAAATTTAATATATTGATTTATATGTCAGTATATATATATGAGTTATGTGTGTATGTACGTAAGTTTATTTTGTATATATATGTTAATATATAAATATTTTTTTTTTCTATAACACTTTTAAATAAATTTTTTTTTTCTCTGTGTATTTAATAAAAATCCGTTTTATCTTTTATTTTTTGACAAAAATTTAATTTTAATTTGACGTTTTTGAAAATTATTTTCAAATTTTTCCTTTCTATATTTATTTAAATATTAATATTTATAATTTAATTTTATAAATATAAATTTGAATTAAAAATAATTTTTTTAAATGGCAGACGCCCGGATAAAAATTTAATTTAGGTTTTTTTTTTTATTAAAAATTTTTTCTTTAAATTAAATTTTCTCTCTTCTTTTTTTTTTTTTTTTGAACTTTATAATCGAAAAGCCGAATGGCGAATAAATTTTATTATTTTTTTGGGTAGGTAGGATAGGGAAGCACACAGCAAACAAAAAAAAAAATCAGAAGCATAAGCAAAACAGGAAAAAAAAAAATATCTTAACTTTTAATAACAGAAATCTACTGTTAGTATATTTTCTGTTTCTTTTCCGCTGGAAATTTTATAATATACATACATACGCACAATATGAAAAGCACCAACAACAACGGCAACAACATAGTATCAAAAAAAAAAAACGAAAGAAAATTTATAATAATCATTTCTTTTCAACACATTTATATAAAAATTTTATATAATATATAAATATATAATATAAATATGTATAATATATATATACATGGCATGAATAGGTGTGTAGATATTAATATGAATATTATGTATGAAAATATGTTTTCAACATAACAAAAAAATAAGTATGACAACTGAAACATACTCTGAATTTTCTGATATAGTTAATACAGGTTTTATGTATGTACTCGTATATGTATGTATGTATGACGAAACTTCGAAGTAAATAGAGAGAAACATAATATTTAATAAATGAGAATCAGTAAGTTTTAACAAAAAAAAACCGAGGGATATAAAATGTATACAAATAGTGTTGCCATAATATTTTTATTATTTGAAACAAATTCACAACAATGTTGTTGAATTGTTGATATATAGAAATTAACAAAATGGTATTGGAAACTTGTCATCACTTATCTAATAATTTATTTCAATAAATAAACTATCCTTCCATATTACAACAAAAATCAATTTTTAGACCGCCTTTAAACGGCCTTAAAATTTCATTGTTTTTTCAACCTAAATACTGCAATGTAAAAAGTTTACAAAGTATTCCGTTTACATTATACAAAGATTTTGATCAGAAAATAACGAAAAATCTGAAATATATTGTTTCGACCATCGAGTTTTTTGTTCCAATAATTCTCTGCTTTTTTCTGTGTGCATTCAAAACGATTTTCAAACAATATGGAATAAAATACTTTGTCAAAATTTATGCATAAACAATATGAAATTTGATGCATCGCTTACACTGTATTTATTTTTACAGTTTTTATTCAAAACTTTAAAAATGGTATAGTTATAGTAGAAGTTAATTGCTTGGTCTTTCTCCAATACAGTTGTTTCAACAGACATTCATACAATAATTTCAACAACCATTCAAATGTAATTTAACATGTTGCCTCATTTAAAAATTGAAATTTAGATTCTTTTCTTATCTTGCAATATCCCATTCCATTCTTACTTCCATTCCGTCATTACTTCTGTTTTCATTACTTTTTAAATATGAAGACATTCATGTTTTAATTTCTAATTAATTAACAAAAAAAAAAAACAGTAAAAAATTCTAAATAATTAGAATGACGAAGGGAAAAATAATACCAAAATACTCAAGTCAATTATTAAGACTTTTTCAATTAATATTTTAACAAATTCTAATTTATCTTCGAAATTGCATAATTTTAGGAACAAAGGAAATTATTAATGATCATAGAGTATTTATGTCTTAAGGAATTTGCAAATTTTACAAGTTGGTTTATTCATGATAATTAATATTTATGAATTTAATGAAAATCATTGTTTATTTAGCAAAAATTCACAATTCTCCGATTTCAACATAAATAAGAGATTTTCAGAAATTACGGGAATGAAAATTTATGAGAAGAGTATGAGAATAAGAATTTATGGCTGTATACAAGGTTGTTCCATGTAACAATTTGTATGGATAAATAAGTTTACAAGACTCAAGTATATAAGTTACGCATCTACATACTTTACAATGAAAGCTTGCTTGCTAAATCTTACAACACCTATACATGTGTGTACATACTTATGTACATTAATTTTGTTATAATTTTTGTTTATAAAATTTTCGAAAGCTTTCTATTCAGTAAAAAATAAATACATAAATATTATTTATCTATATACAAATGTATGTATACTTGTATATATAATGAAATTTGAAAGTAAAAGTAAAAAAGAAAAATATTATTTTAATTCTAAAAATAAAATCAAATTGATATATTGGGATTTATTTAATAATTTAATTGCATATAAAAATAGTTATTTTTCGAAAATATTATTCCATAAGTACGTCAGTTTTCATTAATTATGAAAAATTTGCTATTAATAAATTATTAATTTGTGCAATTTACATTTTGTTTTTTTTTTTGTTTTGAAAAATCATTAATCTAGTCTGTCTATATTTAATTTACTTATCTAAAAATAATTTTGCATCCATTTATATGAATCATAAGTAATAATTGTAGAGGAAGAATGATTTGCAGTATTCAAGCGAATAAGTATTTACATTTCCATACTGATATAACGTTATACTATGTCCTCGGAGATACGACATTTTTGATTCCAGCTCCCATTAGACAGAAGCTCCCAGAAATTTATGTCGTAACTCAAATTGTCGTTTGAGAAGGAAAAAAGATATATGAAAATAATTTATTATTGAAATAATGTGCTTTAGCCTTGTCTTATAACTAAATTCAGTGTAGAGTTTTATTCAAAAAACAGTAAAATCTGTCAAAAAAAAAAAAGAAAATTTTTAAAATAATTAATGTCGTATCAGAAATAATGTCGTAAACCGAATAAAAATGTTCCAAATTTATTTCATGTCGTAACTCGAAATGTCGTATTAGAAGATGTCGTATCTCGAGGACTGAGTGTATGTGTAAATTAATTTATTAATAGGAATGGAATCAAGCGAAGACATAAGAGTGAAAGCTTCTTAAAATATGCAAAAAAAAAAATAGAAAGTTTTAACTTATCGGAAACTTAGATTTTCACCAATTTGAATAAATTTGCTTTATTCTCCAAAAAAAAAAAAATATTGCAATTGATAACTTGTAAAGTGTCTGAATTAAAAAACTTCTAATCAACAAATTTTGTTTTCACAAAAAATTCACATACCTACATATATCAAAAGATGGTTGCTTAGATCAATCATCTCGCAAAAAGGAACAATAAACATCATTATACCAACAAATATACCAGTATCAGTTTACAAGGAACAATCGTCATTTTTTACAGGATAGTGAAGAGAAAATATTTTACGATAAAGATTAAATAGAGGTAGGATGGCAATTAGAATAAATTGACCAGCACAAAATACGCAATGACTAACACTGAAGCAAAAAGAGATTTGAGACTACATACTAAAATACCAACCCATCGACACTGAAAATGTAAGAATAATACTAAGTAATAAAAGCAAACTGAGAAATTTAAATAACTCAAAAGTCTACATCTAAGAATAGATAATCTCGTTCAGTAGTAAAATAATTTTGTATACGAGTATCAAAGAATTAGAATTAATAGAACGCAACATTCTAGTAACTGTCTTATTTCTATTATAAACCGTTATAATGATTTCTTTAATCTTATTTTCATGCCGAATAACAAAGTAGCCATGATGGCATCCAACACGAATTGATGGATAAACATTATTTCAGAGACAACCCTATCTACCAGCAATGACTGCATATCAATTAACAGTAACCTAGTCTCCTAAGACAACAACCTATATGATTAAAACCAGCCTAAATCAGCAAATCAGCAGAGAATTTCTTCTGAACATATTCAAATTTTATCCGAAAATTGTCAAATGGTAATGGAATAAATTGGTGTTAAATGATCAAAAATATAAAATGCGATATTTATGGCTTGATTCAAAATTTTGAAATGTTGAAAATTTTCTATGATATATTGGAAAAATAAACAAAGAAAGAAAGCTTTCGATAGGCCTACAGCTACTGAAAATTAATATAAAATTAACGTACCTACATATTATTTTATATAACTTTGTATGTATATATTTACTTATATGCAAATGTATTTTTTCTATAATAAGAAAATTTATATTGGCAAAATAACCTAAGCGTCCTCTAACAACAATGATGGCAGATATGGAAATGGAGTAGATAGTTAAAAAATTAGTAAAATTAGCAAACAGAAAATAAAATAAAATGGAGAATTTCAAAATTTAACTAACAATTCGCACGTCATTTGGAAATACAACACGCTTATACCTACCTATTACGACTTATGTAATGCGAAACTATAGTCTCATATTTATGTGCATGACATTCGGAAAAATCAACAACGGGGGGGAATTGTTATTACTTTTGCTAATTAAATAAATTTTTCTTTATATTTCGCAAGATATTTACTAAGTATATCTATTTTCAATTTAGAAAAAAATTTATTAAATCTTAAGTATGTTCTAATTAAAAATTGTAAATTTAAGATAAAAGTTTCTTTGTTTTGCAAAATAAAGCTGCAACTATTGTTATAGTTTAGCGAAATTTCTTTTGAAAATACTTTGTTTTTTTTTTTTTAATAAGTAAGTAAATAGGACAAGGTTACCTTGTTCTCAAATTTAGTATGAATAAAATATTCAAAATGTTTTCACACTTAAAAATCATTACTAATTTCAGCTACAATTAATGATTTTCTTCTAGCTGTATTAAAAATAGATATTGCATAATGGAACTTAATTAATTATTTTATTTAATGAAATTATTAGGAACCTACACACCATATTTCCCTAAAGAAATTATTAGAAATTGAACAAATTAAGAAATCCAAATTATATTTTTTATACATTAACAATTTAATTAATAATTGAAGAACTTATGGGTTAAATTATTTAATAATTGAAGAAGATTAGTAGGCATCTTCTTACTTTATTTATTTATGTAACCTAACTTCTTACCAATATTCGGCGTTGGTATCTATTATGATTCTTATTCAAAAATTGTGTAATTAAAAAATTATTCATCATTTTTCGCATAAAATTTTCTCTATTATATAATAATGAAGATATTTTACTAATTACCAAGACAGGTTGGTCCGAAATAACTTACATATAAGTCGGCATCTATTTTTAGGTAATCTATACTCACATAAATTAAATATAGAATTCAGTAACTTATCAAATACTTCTGGTTGCTGAAAGTAATCTTAAAACAACATTAATTCTAGTTAATAACCAACGACTGAGTATATTTCATCTAATTATGTAATTACCGAGTTACATTAATAATATTTTAATATTTTTTAAATTATTTATGATATTTTCAGATTCAAATTTAATTTTAACAAATTCATGGTTGGATGAATCAAAAAAAAAAAAATTACTGCGTCTTTTATGTATATGTATGTATGTGCAATATTAAATTGTTAGGACTAACCTATAAAGCTTTTCAATTTAATGTACTGGGCAGTATATATGGATAGGTATGCCTACACCTAAGCATATTTTAATATCTAGGTAGGTCACTTTTTTTTTTTTACTTACATATTTTAAATTTCAATACCTATGTTTTTTTTTGTTTTACTAAATATTGGCTTTACTTTATTCTTATTGCATTTTTTAATAAAATTATTATTTACGCAGTAAATTGTAAGTAAGTATAGGTGCGAACTAAAATACCGATTTACTTGTAAAGCAAATTCACCTGTTAGAATCTGATATTTTTATATTTTCTTATTTTCTTTATAGATTAAATGTTTATATTTAGCGATTTTTACACAAATTTTTATTTTACAGATAAAAACAAAATTGAAAATTTATAATTTTAACCCAATACTTATTTATTATGTCATTTAAATTTTTTTCTTAAAAATATTATACTTTTGTAAACACAATTTTTCTAATACGAAATAGTATCTACTTATTTACAATTAAAATACATATATTTTTTTCAGAATTGTGCAATCTTACCATCCAAATGTTTATTGTTAAAATTCACTTATAAATATTTTAATTTTTTATTCAAACAAAATTTTTACGTAGCTCTAGCCAGCTATTTCTTTTTTTTTTTTTGCTATTCACTAAAAAACTTTTTTTGAACTTAAAACCAAAACATAAACAAAAGCGAGCGAGAATCATTCATTCGTGAAATGATTCTTCAATAATCATAAAAATTCAATAACTGAGACCATTTTTTTTTCTCCACTATTATTTCCACATTATATACACATGTACTTATTAAATCACAAAATATTAATAATTAAATATAATTAGAATTCAATTTTTTTTTTAAAATCACTTAAAGTTCATTTCCAATTAATTTTTTTAATATGAATATTGGTAAATTTTCTTTTTTTTTTGTTCATGAAAGTGTCTTCATTGACATTTCATTAGGAGTGTCCATTTTTGACATGAATTTTTCAAGTACTTTATATAAATATTCTTATAAATAAAATTAAATATTAAAAAACTTACTTTATTTAAGCCATATTATGAAAAAAAAATTTTCAATAACTAATTTTGTTATTTGAGAAAATCACATTTAAAATTCCACTCATGTACAACATGCCTTTCACAAAATGAACTTCTATTTTTCTTTTTGAGCTGAATTTGCGGTATTTTTTTTTTTTATTTTACATGTAATGTCAATTAGTCGTGTTTTGATATTTAGCCGGTGGTTGATTTTAATCAAATGTCAAAGTTAGCCGTTTCATTTTCATTTTGTTCTATTATAGTTTTTTTTGTCGTTTAAAGAAAATTAAAAAAAAAAGTATATCAAACATGTTCGAGGTATGTTTCAAACTTTTAGAATGTTTGTAGAAAATAAAGTTATGACATTCAGTTACAAACACGTTATCAATTCATAATAATATGTGATATTTAGGTCTATCTGATATTAAATTTGGTAAAATTTAAAAAAAAGAAAACAATGAAAGAAAAAGGAAAAAATATACTCATTTCAAAAAAACAGTATATGTTTTGACAGCTTTAAAATTTTTAAAGTTTTTAAAAACTTTTTTATACTAGACAGACCTGTTAACATGTATGTGAAACGCATTGACATAGAATATTACTGTTAGAAAATTTAAATTTCGATATTCTTAGTTATTGATTAGGAAAAAAATTGTTTTATTTTTTATGTATGATTAATGTGTATGTTTGCTGCTAATTTTCTTTTTGGCCTAATGTGATTTCACTTTAAATTAGAAAACATAAAAACATCGATTTTTATCTTGTTTCCGTTTCAATATTGACATTTCTAAATAATCAAAATGACTTTTTGTGATTCTTTTCATCTATTTCCGTTCTTTTCTGTCGGACTATCTAAACAATATGGTATGTAAAATTTTTTATATTTTATTAAAAATTTTGTAAATTGATGGAAAAATATATTAATTTGAGATTTTCATTTTGTATTCTGGTTTAATAAGACTACTAAAATGTTTTGATTAAATTTTACTAGTGAATTTTATGATTTTGAAAATTTAATTTAATAGTAATGCCCGAAATATTTGTAGACTAAAAAAAGGCGTAACGGAGGACGTAACAAGCACAATCGTGGACACGTGAAACCGGTCCGATGCACAAATTGTGCAAGATGTGTTCCAAAAGATAAGGCAATTAAAAAATTTGTTATTAGAAACATTGTAGAAGCAGCAGCAGTAAGAGATATATCTGAAGCCTCTGTTTGGAATAGTAAGTAAAAAATATCAAGATATCCATACATACATATGTACATGCATTAAGCTTTAATGTTTGTCTTTCAAATAAGTAAAGAAAACAAAATAAAAAAATTTTGTTGGAAAATGTTATTGGACAAACATTAATTTTTTATGGAAGTAGAATCGTTTGATGATTCAAATTCCACCAAACAAGAAAGATGAATAAAATGGTTACATTTATTTGCTATCTGACATTTGTACCATATGTATATCAAATATAATTGGAAGCGTTTTCTATTAAAAATATTTTTTTTCAGCTTACGTTTTACCAAAACTATATGCTAAGCTGCATTATTGTGTATCATGCGCTATTCATTCAAAAGTTGTACGTAATAGATCAAAAGAAGCACGTCGTATTCGTACACCACCAGCCAGGCCTTTTATAAAAGATATGGCTCGTCAAAATCAACAACCTAGGAAATAAAATTAACATTTTATTCGATCTACAATGTTAAGGGATTAATACTTTTAAAATCAATAAAAAAAAAGTAAGAGAAAAATTAGATGAGTATTTTTATTTGCTATTTAATCTTTAGTTTAAAAATGAATGGAAATGCAAAGGTAAACTGAAGTTTCTTATTTTGAAAACATTTTTTTAAAGGGTAGATATTCAATTCATATTGGTCTTATATTTTCAGACTCTACAGCTGAGAATTATAAGACTATTATCATTGCATTTGATAAAATTCTAATTTGAAGTATTGTAGGACGTATAATCATAAATGGTTCTTTGCTGTAAGGTTTGGTGGTAAAATCAAATCTAATGGAAAATATGCATCTTTATTTCTTCATAATTTTTAGTAATATACATTTTTCTAAAATAAATTGAAATTATAGTAGAAGATATAAACCTTTAAAAAAAAACCCAACTAAAATATGCTTGACGTTTTAAATCGTACCTATTTATAAAAATTCGTTTTGTATGGAAACAAAAATGTTTTGAGCTTAAAAAGGAATTCCATATTTTCTAATAAATGCCAACTAATTCTTTCTAAAATTTCTTCATTAACTTGCAGGCTTCCTCTTTGCAGTTCTTATCATCTTCATTCCTGAAAATTAGAAATATATAGACTCTTCAGGGAATACTTAAATGTCAGCGTTAACTTACAAAACCTGACAGTTTGCGGCTTTTTCTATATAAACTTTTGCCTTTTCCATATTATTTAAAGCCATAAAACTTTTTCCTAACATTAACCAATTCGTTGTATAAAATCCTTCTTTAAGTGATTCAGCTTTTTCAAAAAATTCTAATGCTTTTTCATAAGTTCCGGTTGGAGGAGAAGCAAATATTGCAGAAACAATTTTTCTCTGAATCCATGGCAATTCAGCTAAATTAAATTCAAATACTCCTAAAATATGCCAACTTGTTGGATCATTTGGATTTAATTCAACAGCTTTAAGCATATGTTTTTTAACATTTTCTAATTGTGTGATTCTTGCTTTTAATCCATCTAAACCAGCATTGGCATCCAAAATTATAGAATACCATTTGTGAATTGCAAAATTATTATCGTCTTTTTGTAAAGCTGCACTAACTAGTTCAAAAGATTGACGTACATATTGTTCTTTTTCTTTTGCATCTTTTGTAGCTTTAGATAACGAATACATGGCACGAGCTTTCCTCCATTGAATTTCCGGGACATCTTGATCCTTAAAAGCATTTATTATTAAGTTTTAAATATAAATTTACTTATTTTATGAAATTATTACTGAATATTTTGACAATAAATCAATATTTTCTTGAAAATGATTTTCATCAAAAAGTTGGTCGGCGTTTTGTAATAAATTTTCCAAATTTTGTTCTTCAGCCATTTTTATCTTTGCTGCTGATAATCGAGTAAATAAATATATTGGATATAGTGATGTTATAAATTTTGGTTTAAGAACTGTCTACAATAATAAAAAGGTATAAACTACAAGGGTCTACTGGATAAAATGAAAATATAAATTTTAATATGTAAGGTTTAATAAGATGCTTAAATAAATACCTTAACTAATGTAGTAAACCTATTATTTATTAAGGTCTGTTTTGGTATATTATTTCCTAGCTGATTGATATTTAAATAAAATCTAAAATTGATTATTCTTCTCAAAAACATCTAATTTAAAAGTTAAAATTTTAAAGCAATTCCAATTTTATCTTGTATTTTGCGAACTTTAGAAATTTACCTTTAGTAGAAACGTTTAATGTTTATTAATTAATTCAAATTTCCTTTTGCACTTTGTACTTTCAACTTTGAATTGTTTTGCTTTACAAAGATATCTGAATTTCCATCTCAACCCAATACCCACGTATTTATGTAAATATAAATTTCTAAAAAGAAATTTTTAATAATATGTAAATGAATTTGACATTAGAAGAGGTCATTGACCATATGCTGAAACACAATAATTGCGCGGATATATGTCAAAAATGAAATTTTAATGTAATTGGTAACGATTTTATTTTTGGAAAAATATGAATAACACAGCAATAAAGATTTTTAAATTGTTGGGGAAACAGCAAAAACAACGTAGTCATTAAAACGTTTCCAATTTTTAAACTGGCAATATGTTTTAAATATGTATGAATTGTTCTATATGTTTACATTCAAGCGCGCACACGTCGACGGCAATTTCAAATATTTTAGCTGCTTAAGTAATTTGATTAATTAATTTGCGATCAAACTATAATTGCAAAACTAAAAATTGCCAGAACCCTTTATCGTTTTACATGTATTTAAATAAAACTCATTTAATTAATAATTAAAGCACTTCCAGACTAAGCAATAGTCAAACAAGCATAACATGGAATCCATTATAATGGATTCCATGTTATGCTTGTTTTAATAAACTGCATCCACATATCTTAATAAAATCAAAAAAAAAAAAAAAAATTTTTTGATGCAAAAATCTGACGTTAGGTTAAAATATTGAATCCCATTTTCTAAGGTTGGCTGGAAAGTTGGTATAGAAATTAACAAAATGTAAATTTTATAACATGTTGTAATCAAATATGAAGTGCTAACACTACTAGATTTAAAATGTCATTATTAGATCATATGTTTGTGACAGCTCGCAGGTAGTTTTACGGGGATTCGTCAACATAGGGCATAATTTTAATAAATATAAAAAACAAAACAATAGTTAAGTAATTAACATATTTTAGTTTTTTAAAATGTTAAATTTTAAGCCTTATATTGAAAATATTTATTGATAAAATTTCCAACAAAATATCTGTTTGTATAAAAGATGTCACAATTATCCAAAATTTGTATGGTGTGTGGAGATAAGGTGAGCTGATCATTTTTATCAGTAACATGGGTGTTGAAAGATAAGTGTGATTAGTAATAAGTAACATATTTATTGATATTTAATTTTAGGCTCTTGGCTACAATTTTAACGCAATAACATGTGAAAGTTGTAAAGCTTTTTTTCGAAGAAATGCTCTTTTAACTAAAGCATTAGAATGTCCCTTTAATCAGAAATGCGAAATAACAGCAATAACTAGAAGATTTTGCCAAAAATGTCGGTTAGAAAAGTGCTTCGCGGCGGGAATGAAAAAGGACCATATAATGTCAGAAGAAGACAAAAAACTAAAAAAGCATAAAATAGAACAGAACCGTGAGAAGCGAAAGCAAATGAAATGTAAAAAATTAAAGGAGGGAAACACTCCTGAAACATATGAAGATGACGATGATTCAAAATCCCAAAATTCTCTAAACACCTCCGCTTATTCATCTACAGATCCTGAAGAAAATGAAAAAACAAATATTTCTCAAATTGTAGAGTGCATTGGTAAAATTTTTTTGATTTATTTGAATAAGAAATTCATTTAATGCTATTTTAGTTCAAAATCCGGACAATTCTTCAAAAGCTATTAACGACTACATGAAAACACAAACTGATGCCTTAAATATCATGGAAAGAATTATAAATTCACAGAAAGATGCCATGAAATTGATAAGCCATTTAATATTGTATCCTGGACACGCCTTACAAATAATTAGCAAAATTATGAACTCACCTTTAGACGCCCTTACAGTTTTCACAAAATTCATGAGTTCGCCTAAGGATTCTATGGAAATTATTTCCAAAATAGCTAACTCACCTAATGATGTTCTTAAGTTTATGCGCCAGTTAATGACTAGTCCAGGTGACGCTCTTGATATTATGAACAAATTTATGAATACACCAGCAGAAGCCTTGAAACTTATTAACAGTATGGTTAGTGCCAATTTTGAAATAGAAGTTTTTAATAAAAACACAGAAACACCTACACCAATAAATTCAAAGCCTCTGGGAATTTTAAATTCTGTAATAGAAAATAATTTTGGATTGGGTACTACAACTGGTAAAGAAACTCCAGGATCGGTAGGAATCAAATTAGAACAAATTTTTCGAGAAGAAAGTAATGAGCATGTTCCCAGTTCAGTTAATAATATTGAGGAAACTAATAATGTAATAAATAAGGAGCAAAAATCATCTGAAAATGAAAGCGTACCTGAAGATAGCCTTTTTTCCGTTTCAATGGAAACAATCTTGTGTGATGCAATCAAATTAGAATATGAATTAAATGATCCCATAACTCAATCATCTTTTGCTGGAAAAGAGTTGACTGATATTGAAATGTCTAAATTAAGCGAATTAAAAGCGGCTAGTGAAGCTCTCTGTAATCCTGTTGACGAAGATTTAAGAGATTTAGTGGATCCTGAAAGAATTAAGGTAAATCTATAAATAAATTTAATTTTTAGTATCAGAGCCGTTTTAAACTTTTTAGAATAAAAAGGATCAACAATTTCCGCAGCTGTTAAGCGTGATAAATTTAACTGCAGTAGCTATCCGGAGATTAATAAAAATGTCTAAAAAAATCAATGCATTTCGGAATATGTGCCAAGAGGATCAAATAGCATTACTAAAGGGTGGTTGTACAGAAATGATGTTAATGCGTTCGGTTTTTACATATGATCAAAAACGTGCCACTTGGAAGGTAAAGCATTGGCTAAAAAAACTACGTATATACATTTATATATTTATTTTTCATCAATTTGATCTTTTAGATACCTCACAGTCAAGAAGATATGTCCAACATACGTGTTGATGTCCTAAAATTAGCAAAAGGAAATGTTTATGAAGAATTTAAGCACTTCATTCATACATTTGAACCGAAATGGAGGAAAGATGAAAATATAACGTTAATCTTAATTGCCATAGTTCTTTTTACACCGTTTCGAGCCCGTGTTATTCATTCCGATGTAATAAAATTGGAACAGGTTTGAAATTAACAGGTTTACAAAAATTGAAATTAAAACATCTATCTTATTTTTTTAGAATTCTTATTACTATTTATTAAGAAGATATCTTGAAAGCATTTATCCTGGCTGCGAAGCAAAATCTACTTTTCTTAAATTAATTCAAAAGATTACTGAAGTTGAACGTTTGAATTCGTCCATTATAAGTGTATATTTAAATGTAAACCCATCACAAATAGAACCTTTATTAAGAGAAATTTTTGATTTAAAGGGATATTGATAATTATTAAACGATACCGTGTTTTTAATTATTGAAATGTTAAAATTACAACATAATATTAATTATGCTGTATTATATTTCTTCTTCTTTATTTGCCATGTTTTAAAAGCTATAAAAATTATAATGTTAAACAATTTATAAAAAACCCTGTGCTAATTTATTTTGATTTAACAAAATATTGCTTTTATGTAGATAAAAAAATACACTTTGTATTTTTTCTTTTTAAATAATTTAAATATGTACCTATATTTAATGTATATTTTGCTTTATTTTTTAAGTTAATATTGAGAACGTATTATAAAACTGATAAAATAATAAATATAATTTGAGAAAATAATGCTAAGAATATTGTAATATACTAGTTATTCTAGTATTATGCTATATTTTCATATTCAAAAACAGTAAATTGTAAATCGTAAGAATTTCTAAAGTAAGAAATGTTTTTAAAATAATTATTTCGCATTAAAACGACCTCGAAACAAATTAATAAATAATTTTAAAACTACATTTTTTTTTCTACTATAAGGCAATTTTGAATTTTGTGATTAATACTATAATAATAAATTGTAATGTTGAAATCTTTAAGTTGTAAAAATAAATCAAATTATTTTAATATTATTTTATTACTGAAAAAATATATGTAACTATAAAAAATTAAAAAAAAAAAAAACAATTTGTTTTTGTTTATTTGTCTATTATGTGATTAAATTAATTAAACGAACTTATAATTCACTATTCTATTATTCCAATAAGCCAAATTTTTATAATTTAAATTTCGTAAAGTTATTGATAGAAATTAATATTATTAGGCAATTCATTATACATTTTTAAACCATTATTCAAATATAGTGTTTTTTGAATTTTCTTTATTAAAAAAAATTTAATTTGAAAATATTAAAAAATATTGCACAAATAATAATGTTGAATATTATTCTGCACATAGATAAATCTTAAGCTACTTAAGTATTGTGGGGAAAAGATTATGTTTTATGTTAAAGGCCAACATTATAACTAAATTTTTTGCTTTTTGACAAAATAGGAGCACATTTTACCTAAATTTTTGTTTTATATTCAGCTGTTTTAGAGTGTGTAGTAATAATCCCTATTCTTCCGTTCTGTAGTTTTTGTAAGGGGCTATGCTTTTCATTAAACATGGAAGCTATTACAATAGAATAGTATTTATTTGAAATGAGGTCTCATCATTTTATTGAATATATTAATAACAGAAACCAATCGATAATAATTAATTTCTTACTCTTAACAGAAAATTCTTATTCAATTTCTAAGAAATCTTTTTGCATATTATGAAATCTACGTGATTCTTGAAATTTAGTTTATCATCAATTTTTTGACACCATAATATTGTATTCGATTTCATTTGATTCAATATATGTATTTATAATTATCTCTTTTGAAATTTATTAACAATATTTTTAGACTTGAAAGGTTTTAGTCAAATTTCTTAAAATTTTTTCTGGTTGGAGTTGTAAATTAAAGTGTAAATTAGAGGGTTGTAAATTAAAGTTTAGAACTCCATGTTTTTTTCTTGTTTATTGAAAATGCAATCTTCAGGTTTTAGAATGGATTTCAGTTTTCTATTTCTCATATTGCAGCACAAAAAAATCTAAGGTTTAAAGGGTAATGAAATAAAACTTAGAATATATTTTTTTTTTTTAGGAACTATTTTTAATATATTTTCGTCACGAATATTTTTAATTAGAACTTACATAGAATAGAAAAAAAAAAAACTTTTGTTTTTTTTTTATTGAAATTCATTTGCTCTTAAAAATGATTAGTTTTTTTTGTATTTTTTACTTTTTAAATTCCAAAAATTACATAGATTTTTTTTTATTTTCTTTATTATTCACTTTTTTTTTTTTTGTAATTTTAAATACATTTATATGATAAATACTTTCATTTTTATTATAGAAAAAAAAAAATTATTTTTTTTTTTATTATTTTTCAATTTTTTAATTTTTTTTTTTTACAATTATTAAAAATACATAAAATACAATTATAATTATATATAAATATTGAATTAGAAGAAATTCAAAATTGATTTTTTTTTTATTATTTTTTAAATATTAATAAATTATTTTAATTTTTGTACAAAAAATTTAATTTTTTTTTTTTTAATTTTTATATATTTTTTTGTATCAGATTACTTACATTTAATTATTATTATTTTTTTTTTTGTAATGTATATTTTCTACACTATAATTCTTTATTATTTAATTTTATTTACAAATAAATGAAAAATTTAGATTTTTATTCTATAAGTTTTTGTAATACGATTGTGTGATATGAATGCATTTTTCTTAATAATTAAATAAAATAAATTTTAATTATTAAATCATATAATATTTTTTTATATTTGTTTCGCTAAATATATGATATTGGATTTGATTAATATTTAATTAAAATTTATTGCAAAATAAAAAAAAGACTCACTTTTAAAATATGTATTTACTTTAGAGTGCTATACAAGTCTATAAGCAGGATTTATTTAGGAGTAGTTTGTTATATAAATGGATAAATTTTCTCTGATTGATTTCTTTTAGAATCTAATTAATTTATTTAGTTCATGAATTTTTTCTTAAAGAAACTATTTTCAAAAGATTAATTAAAACTTTAGAAATAAATTGCTAATATTTTTAATATTAATTTCAAAAAAAAAAAATAGCAGCAGGTTTTGTTTAATTTTGGCATTTTTCAAACAGGTTTTTTTTTTTCTTTTAATTAACAAAATTCTAAAGAGATTTTAAATAGAGCCTCAAATTATTTTTATTATGTTCCTTATAATTATATAGGTTATGTATACAAAACGTGCATATTATATTTTATGTTCCTTTCTTTAATTTTTTTTTTTGGCACAAAATTGTAAATTAACAAAATAAAGAAAAAAAGAAAACTAACGCGTAGATATATTAGAGATGCGTAATTATATTAGATGTGTGTTTTTTTATTTTATTATATAAAAGATAATTGTTTTTAATCTATATGAACAATACTAGCATAATATTATTGTCAAATATGAGTTAACTGCATTTATATAAAACGATTGCTGTTTAAGGATCGGGTATAATTTTTATTTATCATAATTTATAAATAAAAATTAATGGGCATATTTTAATAAATTTCAAGATTTTTTCAAAAATAAGAATTGGGCCTTTATTGCACCAATTACTTTTACTTTTGCTTTTGCATTTTAACTTTTTTATTAAATAAAAGTTCGCTATAATGGTTTGACTCTTGCTACAATAGAAAATTTTGCAAATTTTTTGATTAGTTGTTTAAAAAAAAAAGTAGTTGACACTTTAGGGCCCTGTTCTAAGTCTGACATAATAAGAATGAATGCACCAATTTATTGATGGTAAGATACAGTTTAAAAAATAATTTAAAAAAATTGGAAAAAAAATTGGTTGTTTAATTTTTATAATAAAATAAATCGAATGCAATCATATCAGTAGCTGCGTATATATGTTTTTTTTTTTCTATAAATTTATTGATTTTTATACATTTTTTTTTTATATTTTAATAATATTTTCTAAAAATAAAATTGCTATTTTAATTATTGTTAATTTACTAATATTAAATTTTAATAATTACAATATAAATTTTTAAATATATTTTTTTTTGTTTTTTTTCTAGTTTTTTTTTTTGAAAATTTTAATTTTGAAATGTTTTACATCTAATTTTAAATTTACAATTTTTTTTTTTAGATTTTACTCTTGTTTTATCTACTTGCTATTACAAAAACTTTTTGTATAACAAATTTTTTATTGTTATTTATTTTATTCTCTATATAAGTATAATTTGAAATTCTATTTTCTATTTGGTGTCTATTACAAATATATTTATTAATCTTTTCGATTTTCATTAAAATCATTTTGATAATTATAAAATTTTAAAATAAAATAAAAAATTAATAATGAAGAAAAAAAAATTATTTTGTTTTAAAGTATGAGAAGAGTTTTTTTAATTTTTGGTGATTATTTTGAAAATTTTTTTGACAATTTAAAATGTTGACAATTTCATTTGACATATCAATTGAAACGGTGTACTTTAACAATTGTTGGAAAGATTAAAGAGAAAGGTTGAAGAGAAAATATTGTATGAGATGAGTAAGTGTTTACAATTTGAAGATTATCAAAAATGAAAGCATTGTAGAAAAATACTGAACCGTAATTTCAAACAAATTGATATTAAAATATGTAATATGGGTTTAGTATTTTTATGAAAATGTGGCTTTGTTTATTTAATGTATTCGTAATGAAATTTACATACCTTTATTGAGATTTATGATTATGCAAAAAATTTGGATTTTGAATAAAATTGAATATTCTAAACTAGGTATGCATATATATATATATACATATATATATATAAGGTATTCATAAAAAATTGAATAAAAATTTAACTTCATTACTTTTACTTTGAAAACAGCTATAACTGTCACAAAGAATTGTTTCTTAGCTTTCAGTATTTTATTTCTGTTAATGGTGAGAAATTTGTTTGTAGCAACGTTAATTGGAATTTGTTTGGGTATGAATTCTTCTTGAAAAATATCTACATGTTCTTTGTCTAGAACATATACTTAATTCTAATTTCTCATTAATATGGAATTGCAAAATATTGCTTACACATATCGTAGATATCATTTAGTTATTTATTATGAATACCTTATATACATATATATATATATAAGGTATTCATAAAAAATTGAATAAAAATTTAACTTCATTACTTTTACTTTGAAAACAGCTATAACTGTCACAAAGAATTGTTTCTTAGCTTTCAGTATTTTATTTCTGTTAATGGTGAGAAATTTGTTTGTAGCAACGTTAATTGGAATTTGTTTGGGTATGAATTCTTCTTGAAAAATATCTACATGTTCTTTGTCTAGAACATATACTTAATTCTAATTTCTCATTAATATGGAATTGCAAAATATTGCTTACACATATCGTAGATATCATTTAGTCAATTTAAAAACTGATTGCTGACAGCTAAATATTAATCATGCATAAATAAATTTTTATATTATAGATTTGAAAATTTTAATTTTATTTGAAAATTTTGAATGAATTTAAGATAATTATAATTAATAATTATATAAATTATTAATCAATATTACAGTTTTTTAATAATTATCTAAATTTGTTATACATTAATTTACATTATTGTGTAACTGTATAAATTAAAACATAAAATTCCACTTTTAAGAAAATTAGATAAATATATATTTATGTATCGTTTAATCTTATAATTTACAATTATATATATGTCGTTATTTATATATTATGGGTATATACTTATAATATTATACTTTCTTTTGTAATATGTA